GAGAGAGAGAGAGAGAGAGAGAGAGAGAGAGAGAGAGAGAGAGAGAGAGAGAGAGAGAGAGAGAGAGAGAGAGAACCTTGAATACAGCTCTCGGAATGAGTATGTACGAATGACCAAGGGAACACTCTGCACTCAGTCTGGGGAAGTGGAAGGGCTGATGAAGCGCCTACGATGTAATTTGTTTCGTTATAATAACGCTCCAAATTACATTGTTTATTACAATTTCTCAAATCTGACAGCTATGGAGATCAGATTCAGTCAATAGGGTCGTAGTCTCAGTATATTGTCCTATGCAGAACTGAAGAGTCGTGAAGACAGCATTATTGTAGCGAACATACCATTGCAGCTGACTTTCGACCAGTCACATAGATCACCACCTTGGTTGTCACTCTCTCCCCCTTGTCAGTTGTGAGTGCTAGATGGCCAGTTGTCTCTCTCTCAATTGCCACCGCCAAGCACTCTGTGTGGAATTCCACCCCTTTGGTTGCCAGCTGTGCCCTTGCCTGCAACCAAACATCGCCAGTCAGTGCCCTCGCCAGAGAACTCCAGATATAAAGTTGCAAAGCCTGCAATAGAAAAGTTCTGCACAGAAAATCATTCTTTCCAGTCCTCGTATAATCTTTTTTCTTCCTTACACCTTTATAACCTTGTGGGTTATGGTAAATAAACAAGGAGGCCAATGGAACACACAGGTCAGGTTGGGCCATGCCTGTCCACCAAGGATGAGACTCATCCTCACCCGTGCTCACCCTTCTTCTCCATCTCAAACACACATGAAATATGTTCACAAATAGAGCTAAGAAGAAGATAAATACAGAAAAGAACGGATGAGATACCTGCAAGAACAAGAGAATGTCAACTGCCTTCTTTCAGTCCCCCCTTACTCAGAACATAAAGAAAAGCTCAAAAGACAGTTCAAATCATGGCTACCATGCGGACATCCGGACGGGCATCCAGATGGTCTGGTGTCCGGTGTCTGCATGCCGGACCGTAGGAGGCCCGTCCGGAGCGGGCCGAAACCCGAAAAATAAAAAAAAATAGGGGGTGCCCTGGACCTGTTCCTCGGGTCCAGGGCACCCCCCTAAAATTGTTTGGTGGAATTTTGGGGCCGGTATCGGTCGTTTAGGGCGCCCGGACCGGATCCTTTTTGTCTTCTCTAACTGCACCCTCAGCCGGTGCCTGCAGTGTAGTGCAGACCGTTGGCGGGTCGGGGAACTTTGAGAATTGCCGCCCGGCCGCCCGCCATTCGAAGCCATCGGCATCGAGGGCATTGTAGCGAGGCCATCATCAGAACGCAGTGAAAATGCACACACACACACACACACACACACACACACAAAGAGAGAGAGAGAGAGAGAGAGAGAGAGAGAGAGAGAGAGAGAGAGAGAGAGAGAGGGTCGCTGCAGGATCCTCCATCGCGCTCCACTGCAAGGTCGACATCAGTCGCGCGGTCGTCATCGGGCTCCTCCGTCAGGTCAGTTCCCTCTCTCTCTCTCTCTCTCTCTCTTCCTTCCATGCTTGCCATTCGTTTAGGTGTTTCGGGCGACCCTGCACTAGGAGATGACTGAATCCTACGCTAGAAAATCCCTGCACTAGGAGATGACTGAATCCTACGCTAGAAAATGGAAAGATACATTGCATTGGTGCAAGGAGAAGGGAGGTTTGGAACATGGGGGAGGCTCAGATGAAATCGCTGATTCTTTGCAATGAGGAGGAGGGAGGCTCGGAACAAGGGGGGTGGAGGTTCGAAAGTTGCGGGATGGAGGTTGGGAAGAAGGGGGAGGGAGCTTTGGAAGAAGTGGGAGGGTGGTGCGAAAGAAGGGGGAGAGACACTCGAAAGAAGGGGTGGGGGGAGGACCGGAACAGGGGAGGGAATCTGATTGGATTCCCTCATCTATTCCGAACTTCCCTCCCCCTTTCTTTGAAATCTCCCTCCCCCTTCGTTTGAAACCTCCCACCCCCTTCGTTGGAAACCTCCCTCCCCCATGTTTTGAGATGGTTGCTTGTTTTGAATCTTTATGAGTGGTTCTTTTTATTCGTTCACAAACTTGTCATTCTATGAGCAGAGAATCGTGGTTCTTCCTATTCGTTCACAAACTTACCATTCGTTGGTTCTTTAAACTTCCTTTTATTCGTTCACAAACTATTCAGAATCGCGGTTCTTTCTTTCTTTTTGTGTGAAGGACTGTTTCTGTTAAGAGGGCAAGTTTCTCTTCTGTTACAGCTTGCTTGTCTTTCTGATCTTGTAACTCCTTATGCAGCCTTGCACCTTCTGCCTGCAGCCTTTTCCTTTCATCTAATTCCTGCCGTTTCGTTGCTAACATTTTGCTCTGCAGTTCTGTACGTTTTTCCTCAAGCAAAAGATATTTTTCTCTTTGGTCTGCAATGGATGCCAACTTTGCAAGAATTACATCTCTTTCTTCCTCTGTCTCCTCTACACGATCGCTGGAGTATGCATACTGGTCATACCAATCCAGCGGCTTGACCTCAAGTCCTCCACTTGTCTGACTAGTCTCACCTTTTTCCGTCCGCCATCTGATGAGCCTGTCATCGGCAGGTTCATCTTCTTCTTCAATTGTTTGCAATTCCTCCTTCAACTGTTTTTCCATTTTTTCTTTCATTTCCCTTTTTAATCTTTCTTCTTCCAGTTGGATTTTCTTCTTTATCTCCTCTCCTTTCTGTCTTCTTCATCTTTCTTTTTCTCTGCCTGCCGACGATCGATTTCTGCCTGTTCAGGAGGCGTGGGCCCTGGCTTCACGGGCACCGGACCTCATCATCATTCGGGACGAGCATGTTCTCCCAAACCCCGGAGGAAAGAAGATTCTGAAGAGGAGGCCCAATAAAACAGAAAGGGCCAGAATTCCCTGCATGGGGAAGTCATCCATGGTGGCTGACGCCACAGGTGGTCCTCCACCGCTCCACCAAGATACTTCCCTTAGGTGCCACTAAACTTAGCCTGAAGTGGATGAGATACTATGCTTGTTTTTTTTTTTTTGACCTCTGAGAATCGCTGCTTTTACAATAACGAATTTCAAATAGCAAGGAACTCAATAAGACTTTTTTTTTAAAAAAAACACTGCTGGTCTCCTTCTTAATTGGTACCTTTCTTTCTTTCTTGCTGATCTGGATGTCTTCTTTTTCCTTTTATTAACCCTGCTTGTCTGTCCTCTTGCGCAGGGGGTACTGGAGTGTGTACTTGTCAGATGCCTGGACAATGCTGTATCACACTACTACTACTGCCCAGCTTGGACCTTATGTTGTAACTGCTATCTGGGTGGCAATCAACCACTACAACCAGTGTTCCCCCCCCACCTTTACTACCTCCTACAAATGTCAATTCAGAGGGGTAAAAGAGAAGACCACCAGGACTCTGACCACTGCTACTTTGAGTGTGACCAGACACTTGTATCCTGACTCTCAGACCGGACCTTAGGTAGACAGCAGCAGCAGCGACCACCAGAGAGGGAAAGAAGTAGAGTACACACACACACACAGCCAGGTAAGGGGAATGGAGGTCCTCTCTTTTGAAGCAATCGTCGATGAAGCTCCTCGTCGCTCCGCACTCCAACACTCCAGGTAAGTCATCTTCTGCCCCTTCCTCTTCGGCTTACTTCTCCCCCTATCCCAATCCACCTCTCTCACAACTCTACCATCACCAGCATCATCTTCAAGCCAGCGTTCTCTTCTTCTTCTCGCCAGCCTTACTCATGCCAGCGTAGTGAGTGCAACAAGCATCTGCTCTGATACCAAGTTTGCAAGGGACCTGTCTGTCCTCCTCTTGCTGGAGTGTATCACAACACACGCATGGACAATGACTCACACAAGAGATGAAGCTCACACATAGTCCAAACGAGATGGGATAGAACCAAGATGCGCAGCTCAATTTATCGTTAACACATTATTATACAAGAGTATATCGGGATCCAAAGTTCAGCGCCGAACATTATCACGAGTATCTTCCTTCTGTCTCACGAATGGGGCCTGGCTCAGCCAGCGCCATCATCAGAACTCAAGTACAGCGCACAACAGGTAAGTATCCACCTACCCCGCTCTCTCCCTTCTCTCTCTTTCTTGAATCTCAATCTTGGTCCTCTTGTCCCACCATACATGCACACTCCTTCTACGAAGATCTACTTTGAATGCTACTCACTGTAGACTAATTACTAACCCATTACCTATACTAACTAGCTGGTGCAGCTATGGCTGCCACTTGCAAGCCAGCGCCCAGCTCTCTTCCACCTCTCAGCGCARCTTCTCCTCCAGCGCTAACCCARCCAGCTAGCGCACAAGTGCACACAGCACTTCCACGCCAATATGCCAGTGGGAATCTGATGTCAAGGGAGGCTGGCCTATTGCTTTATACTGCTGGCCTCCCCTGGCGAGGTCTGCATTGGTCTGTATTGGCACTTTGGGCCTTCTTCAGTCCCAGACCCATGCATATGTGTGTGTCCCAGTATTTTCCCCTCAGGGTCTGCTGCTGCTGCGGCCATCTGGCCTGGATTTCGGACTGGGTGTCTGAAGCTAGACCCCCTATTCGACTTAGACAGAACTGGGAACCTGCCCTTTGACTTCCTTTTGGACAGACAAACATTCTGCACGAACAGACACTCATACTTCACGAACAGACACATCTCTTGCCTGAACAGACATGACCTGCGCACCACCTGGACGAACAGATGAGACTCCCAAATCCAAACATTGCAGCTGTTCGTACAGGGCACAACTGTGACCTTTGACATTAGCTTTTACTTAGCTAGGATGTGACTTTCGACCCAGAGAACATGTCCTTTGATCTGCTTTCACGAGTTGGGCCCTGGCGGGTGACCCCTCTATGCTGCATTTGCCGAACAGCGTCTGAATCGGGTAAAAGGCCCTTTTATCTGTGTTGCGTAGAGGCCACTATTCTTCGCCATCTGCTCCTGATTTCCGTCGAATCGCGGTTCTTTCTATTCTTTTCATTCGTTCACAAACTTATCAAGATTCTATGAGCAGAGAATCGTGGTTCTTTCTATTCGTTCTTTTAACTTTTCATTCAGAACTTGGGATTCTTTGGTGGTTCTTCAGATACTTTTATTCATTTGCAAAGTTTTCGTTCACTTTCAAAGTTCACATTCGTTTTCAAACATCTGCAAACTTTTCTTTCGCTTTCAAGGTTTGGAAGCAGGTTCGGAAGGAGGGGAAGGCAGGTTTGGAAGAAGGGGGAGGGAGGTTCGGATGAAGGGGGAGACAGGTTCGGAAGAAGGGGGGGGGGAGACGTTCGAAAGAGGGGGGAGGGAGGTTCGGAAGAAGGGGAAGGGAGGTTCGAAACATGGGGAGGGAGGTTCGGTATGCCAGGGAGGGTGGTTCGGAAGAAGTGGGAGGTAGGCTGGGAACAACGGGGATAGTTGAATGTCAATGAATGATCATTTATGTTTGCTACACGTGCCACCAGGTATGTCTTCGTAGGTCTTCCCTCCCAAATCAGACGATGAACATGCATCGAGCATGGATGATACCCTCTGGAGTTTTTTTTTTTTATTATTATTTCCAATCCAGACCAATTCGGACATGATGATCCAGAACATCCAGACCAATCCGGACATGGTCCGGATTGGTCCAGTGATCTGGACGTCCAGATCGCGACCGGACCGACCGGTGGTCCGGGTCCGCGGTAGCCATGGTTCAAATTGTTCAATTCAATTGCAGGACCAGGTTAGACAGACAAACATCCAACAAAGCAATACCCTTACTGTGTCCTGAAAAACAGAGCTCTGTCCGCCAATCACAAGTTTGCCCCACTGACAATCCAACTGGAATCTTCTAGCGGAAACTAGATGACATGCTGTGGCTTCGCTCACAGACAAAAGCATGATGGGTACTGGATTTGCAGTGGTGCCTGCTGCTTGCTGCTTGCTGGCCTGGCCAGGCGTGTGGGGGGGCGCAGTAGCTTGCCTCTGGCCCCAAGTGTCTGCGCCGAGGCCCAATTTCAGATACTGGCCTGCACTCGTGCAATTAGGTACGTCCTGGCAGCCACCTAGCCTCCAAGTCTTTGCAGCATTCTCATTGGCTCGCGACTCATGTGTGACGACAATGCTGCTTCCTCATTGGCCAGCGGCCAGTCCGTGATGTGTCGGCCTCACACAGCGTGTGCCCAGGGCGCAACAACCTGAACCCTGGGCTCAACTGTACCACTCATCCCTTTGCTTCTGAAAAGAGCCTGGAGGCTCACGTTGCTCTGTACCAACTGGCGTGCTGCAACTGCCTGAGTACCCAGATATGGAAAAATGTCAAAAACAGGCCGCATCTGGATACTCAGGCCCGCCTTCACTTACGGCAAGCACGGGCTTGCTAGGAGCCGCAGCCCAGAACACTTGCATGTCTGATAAGGGCCCCATGAGGGCTCATTCCTCGCAGTCATCTGATTGCTTCTGGATTCGAACTTGGATCTGTATTTCAACAGTTGATGGGTGTACCAAATGAGCTAGGCCGGTTGGACTGGACAAATGGTTTTTCATTTTTTGTTTTTTTTCCAGTCTTTTGACGGCTATGCGAGGGTTTGACCCTCGGCATATGGCCCTGCAACAGGCGTGTGCCCGCCCTAAGTGAAGGCGGGGGCCTTGAATCTGAACGAGCCCTGAACTCGTCAATTTTTGCAAATCTTGGTCGGCCCCAGACAGTTGCCGCGTGCCAGTTGGTTACATCCGCCCTGCATGTGAGAATGGGAGCCTTCCAGGCCATTCTAGCAACGTGGTCAAAGCAGGGTGCATCGCACGTTCGTGCCTGGGTGGTTGGGGATGCCTAACCAATTCGGTCCCAGGCCACTGTCTGAACGGGCCTGGGCGCAGACACTTCGGCCGAGACTGAAGCTACTGGAAACTCGGTCTCACGTGGTGGTGGGCCGGTGGCAAGGCAAAGCGCCCGACACTTTCCATATAGGAGAGGGCTGGGCGCGAGGGCAGACATTTGGCACTTGCAAGCGCATGCTGAGGTGCTGGTGCGCTAGTGTGTGCACGGGCGCGTGCGGTCGTGCGAGAGGTGCAGGGCGCTGCTGAGGGCAGCGTCATAGCCAGCCCCCATACCCGGGCTTGACTTGGTCGATAGCCAGTGGAGGTGGTGGTGGTCTTCGTGCATGGAGGTAGAAGTGGGTAGAGAAGACGAGGGAGAGAGAGGGAGAGAGAGATGAGGATGATGATGTGACGGCACGTACCTGGTCTTGGCAATAGTCTACAAGGGTCGACATCTTCATGTACTTCGGTTCTGCTGCTGACATCAACAGTTGCATAGTCAATTTGTAGGCTGGTAGTAGCAGCCTGGTCGTAATCTGGGCGCTCAGGAGGAAGGGCTCTGGATACTTGTGCTGGTGATGGCGAGAGTATGCTCTCGTTGACACTCGAATTCAGTGTTTTTGTTCTCCATTGGTACAATATCGGTGCAATTCTGCTTTCTGGACAGTTTCGGACTTCCTGGCTTTCAATGTGATTTTGCAATCTGGAATCTGTCATTTCGTTATTGCTCATTTTCCTCGCAGTTACTTTTGTTTTTTCTTTTTGTTTGGACCCGCAGGTGTGCTGTCAGCTATTGCTGGACAAAAAAGTGGCGTGCAGCCAAGCACATGTGACTTTGCCATTTGAAATGGCTGGCTCTGGATACTTGTGTTGGTGATGGCGAGAGTATGCTCTCATTGACACTCGAATGCAGTGTTTTTGTTCTCCATTGGTGGAATATCGGTGCAGTTCTGCTTTCTTGACAGTTTCGGACTTCCTGGCTTTGAATGTGATTTTGCAATCTGGAATCTGTCATTCCGCTATTGCTCATTTTCCTTGCAGTTGTTTTTCCTTTTTGTTTGGACCCGCAGGTGTGCTGTCAGCTATTGCTGGACAAAAAAGTGGCGTGCAGCCAAGCACATGCGACTTTGCCATTTGAAATGGCTCCCCGCAGACCCATTTACTGTTCACCACCACCCCTGTACCGGGCCATAGATGACCCTGCATTTTCACTGCAGGTTTACAACCACGAGTTTGGGTGGGGAGGAGAAGGGGAGAGACTGGTGCTTTAACTGGTGGTTTAATCCAAAACCTGACACCCTCAAGACACTGATATCCAGCCCCGGACTTCCAGAAAGTCCGCCTGGTTGTCCAGACGTCCGGATTGTAACCATGGCATATATTATGACTGATTACGATTGACTGTTTCGTCGGGTTTCCACCGACTCATCAGGAGGATGAACCTCTACAGTCTCACTGAGATCTTTCGCTGCACATTATTTAGACTTCAACGGTCCAACGAACATAACGCACACAGTCCCCTGCCCGCAGGTAACCCATGGCTAGTCACAGAAAGCTGTCCTGAACATATTGTTTTATGGAGGCCATATCCTGCTTCATTTCCATACGAACAATGAGTGTGACAGAACAAACATGCAGCAACAAAATACTACATCAAAGATCCAAGCCATCACACATCTTTACACCTCGTTAGTCGGAACAGAATCACAGGATGGCCATTACAAGATTTCGCCAAATGGCCCTATTTCAAGTTAGGGCTTGATAGGCACACACCTAAAGCCCAACCAACTACTCCAGCAGCCGCAGCTGGAACAGGAAGCCAACCACTGGACTCAGAATTCACCTGAGGTCCAGAGGCAATTAGTTCACTCAGCTGTAGTCTACGTGGGTAGAATTATCACTTGAGACTTAGTCAATATCAGTCCATGACTCCCATACTGAGGATTCAACGGCCAAGATAAGGCACACCAATGATACCCACCTCCTCATCGAAACCACGAAGCACCTTTGGCTGCCTTTGCACGACGTGTGTTTCTGTTCCCAGCCCATTGAAGAGACAGGCAAACTCGAGTGCAATGTAGCTGTCTCCCACAATGCAGACGCTCTCAGGCACATCTCCAAGTTCCAGTGCTTCATCGCTGGTTATTCCCAGCTCCTTGCCAGGTATATCAGGGATAAATTGCTGCCCACTAGTTGATGTGAGGAGGTGCTTGATTATGCCCTTCCTTTGTTTCGTTTCTTGTCTGTGTAGGATAGACTGCATGCACAGATCGAACGAGATGATCAAGCGGTCTTCAAGTAAGTTGTGTCCGCATGCATAGTTTGAAGGAGATGACCAATCGGTATTCATGTCAATTCAGGAGGAGGATAAACAAAGGGTAGCTGAGAGAAAGACAAATAGCAGAATTCAGGAAATAAAAGAAGGCAAGAAGTACAGCAGTGGAGAACAAAAGACAAGCAGGAGAACGCAGGGAATACAAGAAGACTGAACAGAGGTCCAAAGCAGCCGAAGACCAGCTCCTAAATAATGGCTTGGGCAGTGTAACCAGGCACTGTCCCTAATATGGTAGTGTCATAAAGTAACTGGCAAAGTAACTATGTTTAGGAAATGTAATGTGACAAAAATAACACTAAGGAAGGACAGAAGGCAAGATAAATCAGAAGAAGACTCACTCAAGTCTCAAACTCTTTCCCCCCCCCCCCCCCCCCCCACCCCTCTTTTTTTCTCTTCCTTAAAAGTCCTTCCTTCCTTCCTTCCTTCCTTCCTTTGCCATTTTCATGCATCCTGATCGTGACGATAGTCAGGGGATACATCCACTAGGACTATTCCTACCAAGCTCTGGATGTGATTGCGGTCAGATGCATCCAGATCTGGCTGTAATTGCCGTCAGATACTTTTAGAAAAGTGGTAGTGTGAGTATGACGTCAGTAGTTATGGTCCATCTATATTCAACTCGTTAGAGAATCCGCACCGACCATCCCAGCTCACACCTACCCTGACAGATTAACATTTTGGTACACAGTGTACATCACAATACTGCTGTGGTCACAATAATAAATACTAGTGATCAATGGAAGTTATCATTCCGAACTTACATATGAAGTCGCAAACATAACAATTCACAATTCAACCCTGACACTGCTCCAGGACCATCACGAACCCTAAAGTCTTATGTCCACTAACAATTCCTTTTCAAAGTAACAAGAGGAAAAGGGCAGCCTTGTCTGCAGTCCTAGTTTCAGCTTTCGCACACCTCTCTCGAGATGCTATTGAGGTAAAATACCAAAGTCGAATTAAACCACCAGTACTTGGCCCAGCTATCGACCGCGGCGCTTCCCTTCACGCGCCGCGTCTGAAGGGTTTCGGGGTACCGGACCACAATGGCTGGAAGCGCCAGCCAAAAGAAATTTGAAACGACGCCCTGCCGGTTCGGCAAAACTTGGCAAGGGGGTCGGCTGGCTCGGCATTGATAGCTGGGCCAAGTACTGGTGGTTTAAAGAACTGCAGTCCAAGTTTCAGCTTTCATACGCATCTTTGAACATGCTATTGGGGTAAAGTTTTAGCGGATGTCCTTCGGGACATCCGTTAAAATTGGAACGATACAGAGACGATTAGCATGGCCCCTGCGCAAGGATGACACACATAAATCGAGAAATGGTCTAAATTAAAATAATAATAATAATAATATTATATTAATAATTTCAAAAAAATTTAAAATACCAAAATTGAATTCCAGAACTGCATCCAAGTTTCGGCTTTGACACGCATCTCTCAATATGCTATAGGGTAAAATACCAACAAGGAATTAAGACACACAGGCTTCACTCAGAAAGATTCATGGATGTACCTACCTTGCACTTTGCCATACAAATAGGACAGATCAAAGCAATAGACATCGCATCCAGTTATCCCCAACAGTCTACATTACTCGAAAATATTCTTGCATAAATACCCCACAACAGGTCTGGATTCCAGACTCTGGAATGAATTTTGAGGTACAGGCTGCAAGCTACTATCAAGTACGAAAGACTACAATGATTACGATCTGTGGGGGCACTCAGCGCATGTGGCTGAATGGTACACACATTTTACTGTTCACTAACAGATCAGGAGTTCAAGTCCTCCGATGGAATCAGATGGATATGATAATCTTAGGGCCTAACGGCCCTAACCCCTCAAAAACAAAACAACCTGATGGAGCTTGAGTGACCAGCACAGCTGGCAATCTTGAAACAACCTGAGCAAACGAAAGCCATGTAGTTAAGGAAAGAACAGCTACAACACATGTCATCATATCCCAGCAGCTTTGAGCTCAAGCCTGCCAAAGGCCAAAATGACGCCTAAGTTGACTAGGTGGGCCGTAGAGATAGACCAGTACGACTTTGAGCTCAAGCCTGCCAAAGGCAAATACAATGTAGTTGCGGATGCTCCAAGTAGGAGATCAGACTACTTTGGAGCTATAGTTCACCATCTGGATATAGGGAGCGACCTACAGGGTAAAGTTAGACAGGCGTACGCGCAGGACCCCATTTATGGTGACCTCCTCAAGAGAGTTAAGGAGGCCCCAAAGACTGAACCAGATTACCGCACTACAGAGGGGTTGTTATTTGAGAAGACTAATGTAGTAGACCGTCTGTGCATTCCTAACAGCAAGGAGATCCGTAGTTTGATCCTGGGGGAATGCCACGACACAGAGGGACATTTCGGTTGGCAAAAGACTCTAGCCAATCTAATGCATGCGTACACTTGGCCAGGAATGAAAGATGACTGCATAGAGTATGTCCGCAGTTGGAAAGTACGCCAGAGAAACAAGAGTACTACGCGTGTCCCTCTAGGTTTTCTCAGACCCTTGTACATTCCTGATCAGCCAGGAGATTCAGTGTCCATTGACTTTATGTACGCTGGCGTCAAGAGTAGGCATGGTAAGAGCCAAGTCATGGTCATAGTTGATAGATTCAGTAAGTATGCTGTTTTTGTTCCTTTGCCTGCAGAGGCACGAACTGAGCTAGTAATTCAGAAGTTTTTCGACCATTGGATTAGTGATCACGGGATTCCGCTATCTATAGTTAGCGATAGAGACACCCGATTCACTAGCCAAAACTGGCAGGAACTAATGAAAGTCTACGGATCGAAGTTATTGATGTCGTCTGCCCGTCAGACTAACGGTCAGACTGAACAGATGAACAAGATCCTGCAGCAAGTTCTGCGCATGTACATTAGGCCAGATCAAGTCAATTGGGATGAGATGTTGCCCAAGGTAGCCAGTGCGTACAACAACAGCGTGCACTTGTCCACCTGTCGCACTCCCAACGAGTTGCACAAGTCCTTTAGACCACGCAGTCCGTTTGAGGGACTTAACCGGGACCAGGTTCACAGGCCACCGCCCGGTACCAGGGAGTTTGCAATACAGCACGAGAAAGAGCTAGCTACAGTCGTCGAGAACCTCAGGAAGGCCCAGCACAGAATGAGCAAACATCTTTCCACCCCCACAAACGATCAGATATACCTCTTTTGGCAAAAGGATCGGTGGATGCTTTAGATCAACCATACAAGCAAAAATTCACAACTGGCCAATCCTGGTTAAACTCTCACAGGTGTATTTGTTTCCAATGATTGATACACAGTTATGAAGTTATGAAGTTATGAAGTTATGAAGTTATGAACTGGTAGTAACATTTTTCCAATCCGTACCTGTCTAATTCTGGGCAAAGAATCTTGCAGTTGCATGGCTTTCGATTGAGATCGCTGTGAGCTGGCACGAACAGCCATTTGATTATTCAAATTTGGTCGACTGCCCATTTCAATGCTCACTGAAGCCAGGCCCTCCCAGTAAGCGTGTGCACTGCTTGCGCTCTGACTCCACTCGCAGCCTTGTGCTCTTACTATAAGCCCACTTTGTGCAGCTCGAGTAGATGAATGCTAGTTTACTATGGGGCTGCGGCACCGAAAGAACCCCTACCCTTGCCAACCGTGCAGTGAGGGGAATTACCACCTGACCCCTTGATTTCACCTTCTCTTTCGCCCTCCTGCTTCTTGCTTATGCGTGGGTAATTTACCAAACCTCATCCTTCACTCCATTCAGACATTTATGCAACTAGAGAGCAACCATTGGGATTCATTAGCTTCTCCACATTTTTCAGGAAAAAACAAAAGGCCTGGCCCCTGAGTGCACTGGCAATTATGACATGACTGTTGGTTTTCCCATGAGGGAGGCCCAGCGTACCTTTCAAATTTCTACTTCTTTTTCATTTCTTTTTGTGGATGTTTCCCCTCTTCTCTCGAAGAACGTCATTAATACCCATTACCATTGTCCGCCGCATGCCACCGAGCACTGGCCAACTGTGTACTTGATTATTTGCTGCAGTGCGGGTTCAGACTATTATTTCCCCCAGCATATTCCCAGATAAGCATATACCCTTTTGATTTTCCTTTTCCCCTGTTTGAATTTCAGCATCCTTGATTTACAACTCTAACAGAAACATTGACAAATGTGCTGTTCCTTGCACTTTTTTTTTTTTTTTTTGTCCCTGGATGGCTCAATTCGGCACAACAGCAGGTGATGTTCCTTGCTTTCAAGTTCTTTATATCCAACAAAATCCTAGGCTTTCAAAGAGTTGGATCCTACTGATACTCACTCTTTCTGTGTTAAACTGGCATTCCTGCACATACAACAAATAGCGCACCAGATCGTCACCAACAGTTCAAGTACCCCCTTTCCCCGAGCCATCCAACTCTAGACAAGACCTTAAAGGAGAAAAAATGTGAGTCCAAACTGGGCTCATGCAAATTCTGCGAACAGCAATACTGATGATAGCAGGGCTGGTCCCGACCGGGCGGTTGACCAGCCCGGCAGGCCCCCGATCATCCCAGTGCATCATGCTGGGGGAGGGGTACCGGGGATTTTTGGACGTCCCCATGCCCTCCCAGCCTCCAGGAGGGCCGCCGTCGTTTTGAAAAAATGGATCGTATCAACCCCTCATGTTCGAAAGAACGCGTGGCAGATCTCCGCCGGCGACCTCCGCAGATCGCTGGCGGAGATCTGCCACACGTTTTTCCGAACATGCGGAGTCCGATAGGCCCTGTTTTCTGAATTTCGAAATGCGCCTGATTTCGGCCGCTGATCTCGAGATCAGTGGTCGAAATCGGGCGCATTTCAAAATTCGAAATGCACCACCCAACCTCCACTCCGGCCCACCCTGTTCCCACTCCATTCCCCCCACGCCCCCACTCCGGCCCATCCCCGCGACAAGGTTGACGTCGCGTTCATTCCAGCCAACATCGACCTTCCTGCTGAAGCCCGCTACGTGCAAGCTCGCCATCACGAAGTGGCACACGACACACCCCATCACCACGAAGTCACATCATCCAAGTGTAGGGCCTTAGTTCTTTTGTTTTGCTTCTTCTTCATCTTCTTCTTCTTCTTCTTTCTTTTTCTTGTTAATCTGTTTCTCTTTCTTTCTTCTTCTCCTTGCCAGTTCTTGGTCTTCACTCTTCTTCTTCTTCTTCTTTTTCTTCTTCGTGGGGTTCTTGGACCGGGAGAGAGAGA